TTATCAAATTAATGTTACATAAATGAAAACACAATCTCCAAAAAGTATATGCTAACTGCTCGTTTCCCATGATTCTACACCTACGCCAATAACACAAATATATATATTCATCAATAGATAAACTTTAGACGAACTAATTTACCAGAAAGAAAAAAAAAAAAAAAAAAAAAAAAAAAAAAAAAAAGGACAACACATGCTGAATAATTAGTTTCTAGGAACCAGGAAGGATCGCAGTCGATTCCTTCCTTTACCTAAAGCAGCCTCAGAGTTTCATCTTCATTATTTAAAGAAGAATAAGACCCTACACCTTTCAAGAAGATTTGACAAACTCAGGATGGTCATATGCGGTGGTTCAACTGCTTCCGTTCTCTGGCGAATTTGTTTCATTGGTTGATGGCTTTCTGTATAACTATGTTAGCCATTTACTTAAGTGTTACGCAGTTTTAAATGTTGTTGAACTGGAAATAGCATTTGAGGTCTAACAGTTATTCTAATTTTTTAAAAGAATAAAGTCGTCATGGACAATGAAATTCGACTACTAAATATTTCAAGTTTTATGGCATTTGAACAGTTTTCTAGACGATGTTGCCGTATTTGTCTTTTAGAAAGTTTAGTTCAAATACTAATACTTTTATTTGAAAAAGAATATGAAGACCATTATTTTAGACGCGTGGGGACGCATTTTACCTAAGAAGCTAGAGATGGTCCCCGGATATGAGTCATTTCATTAAAGCTGTTTTTGAGTCCGGATCACTTCCCTTGATTGGTTTGACAATTTATTACATTCTTTATCTGTTTAATCTAACGCAATTCATCATTTGTATTGAATTAATCCGCGTATCCTTAAAATACTTATAAATTTAATTGTTATCCGTTTTTAGGGTAAACAGTTTGGCGCTCACCGTGGGACTAAGGATAATAGTGTCAATTTGATACAAATTTCCATAACACACTATATATTACACTTGTTCTTTAGGAATTTTAATTGCAAGTCAAAATTAAAAATGTCAAACTCTCAATCTGCCCATTAACGTGGATGCTGAGTCCGACCACCATGGCGAGAACAACAATGTGGTACCCAACAACGAGGTGCCCCCGTTGACCCCAACGGAGTCCCAGTCGCTGATCCGATCGATGTTAACTCACACGTGGCTATCGAAGCAAAATTGCCTACTGACCCCAAAAACAACATTCGCTGGGGAACCCAGTCGATAGCCTGGAGTACACATGATGGCGAAGGTGATGGGATCAATTTGCGTGTGATCTTCGAAATGTTACAAGCTCAACAGGTAGCGATAGCCCAGTTGTAGAACCAAAGCCGCACCCCCAGCAGGGTTGAGCCCGGATCATCCCGAGAAAACACTCGCAGAAATGAACCGACCACAAAAAGGCCGAGTGATGCTGAATTCGGGCCCAACCTCGAGATAATAAAGATACTTGAGGAACTGATAAAAACGGATGGAGTCGGGAGAAAAGAAAATTGAAGCCGAAGAAAGAAAATGGAGACCTATAACTCCAGGGTCGATCAAATCCCAGGTGCACCACCGATACTAAAGGGCCTGGATTCCAATAAATTTTTTCAAAAGCCTTCCCCTCTGAGCGCAGCTCTGAAGCCGATCCCAAAAAAGTTCCGTATGCCCGAAATTCCGAAGTATAATGGGACAACTGATCCAAACGAATATGTTTTTAGGGAAGTTCACGAAGGCACCTGCGGGAACCATTCTAGGGTTGAATCGTTAGTTCGTAAGATAATCAAAATCGACTATTACTGGATCGACATGGAAAAAGATGCGATGGAGTTCGTGCGAAAATGCGATGGTTGTCAGAGGCACGCACTGATGATCCATCAGCCCGGGTAGCTACTACATTCGGTCTTGTCACCTTGGCCATTCATGAAATGGGGAATGGACATCGTCGGTCCCTTGCCATGAGCACCCGGTAAGGTTTAATTTATATTATTTATGACTGACTATTTTTCTAAATAGGTTGAGGCTCAGGCATTTGAGAAAGTTAGAGAAAAAATGTTATTAATTTTATTTGGGACCACATAATATGTCGGTTCGGGATGCCAGCAGAGGCTGTATGTGACAACGGGGAGCAGTTCATGGGCAGCAAGGTAAGCAAATTTTTCGAGGACCATAAGATCAAAAGAATCTTGTCAACACCCTATTACCCTAGTGGGAACGGGAGGCGGAGTCTACAAACAAGACCATACTCCAAAACCATTAGAAAAAATTGACCGATGCCAAAGGAAATTTTATCCGAAGTTCTATGGGCTTACCGTACAACCTCAAAGTCTAGTACCGGGGCCACCCCGTTTTCGTTGGTCTACGATACCAAAGCACTAATACCGGTTAAGGTAGGAGAATCGAGTTTTAGGTTTCGATATGTGACCGAAGAGTCGAATAGTGAGACCATGACCACGAGCCTAGAACTATTGGATGAGAGGCGCGAGGCCGCCCTCGTCCGGTTGGCCGCCAAGAAACGACGGATCGAAAGGTATTACAACCGAAGAGCCAACCTCCGGCACTTTAATATCAGGGACTTGGTATTAAGAAAGGTGACACTGAACACTTCGAACCTGAATGAAGGGAAGCTGGGACCGAATTGGGAAGGTCCATATTGAATTATCGAGATTACCGATAAAGGTTCGTACAAACTCGAAGCAGGGAACAGTGAGCGGCTACTGAACAACTGGAATGTGACTTACTTAAAACGATTCTACTGTTAAGGTACGACCCCATTTATTCTTTCTTGATACATATTGCAAATTGGACTAACCCTTTCAGGCAACATCCAAAGGATGATATAGTTGTTAGGCCTGAAAGCACGCGTTGCACTCTTTTTTCCTTGAACCGATTTTGTCCCAAATGGATTTTCCGGCAAGGTTTTTAACGGGGCAACAGTGGATCCTGCTAACTTAGAATCGAAGACCAGTTTTGAATCGGAATGGATGGTCAGCTCAACAGTATCTGAGCCCTCTCGACGATCGACCTCGAATACTGGGTCCATCACTCTCGGGTAATAATTTTAGCAAGGAAGGAAACTTTGTGCTAGAACTGTGACGACCCAATTTCTCCTATAGGCTGTGATGATGTCCAACGTTGCCGTTAGGCAAGCCAACAGTAAACTAACCATGTGATTGCTCCTTTCAATAAGTTTTCAAGTAATTAAATTCCATTTATTAAGAAAGTAAGGAGTAGGAAAATTTAGTAAATAAAACAAAGGCAACTGAGTGGATATCATAGTGATATAAATACTCCAAAATCATAAAGTCTAATAGTATGTATGCCAAGACTTGGTGTCACAAGTGTATAAGCAACTAGTAAAATATACAAAACTTTAATTACTATCTGAAATAAAAGTAGACAGAAAATAAGTGCAAAAGAGTGACTCTAGGTGCTGCGGAACGGCTCAGGAATCAGCTCACCACTAGGCCTCAGGGTAACGGGGGTACGCAGCGGTATGACTGCCAGATGCACCTGCCTTAGGTCCTGTACGGTTAGTGTAGAAGTGTAGCATGAGTACATAAACAACATGTGCCCAGCAAGTATCTAGTCTAACCTCGAAGAAGTAGTGATGAGGGATCGACATCGACACTTACTATGGGCTAATAATATAAATACAGAAATTCTAAATGAGCATGGTTTATGTAAATAATAATAATATCTCAATAACAAGAAGGAAATAAATAATTCTTTCACAAATGGTAAATCCCAAGTCAGTTCCTGTCATATATAATTTTAACCTCTCAGGCCATAAAATAATATCAAGTATAATTAAGCTCCAAGTATTTTCACGCACGATTATGCTGAGGTGGTACGACCCGATCCAGAATAATGTGTACACTGTCGAGGGTCGAGCGACACTAACCATAGATGCATCTATTCTACTGCTGAGGCATTCGGCCCACTTCACAAGAAGAGAGGATACTTTATAACATTCGGTTTAAAAGCTATTACGAGGCTAATACACAAAGAAGCACAATTTTTATTAACGGTCAAGTATCTCGCCAAAACTCAAGTAAGTAGAAGTTGGTCTCTTACAATTCCTCTATCAAGTTCCAATATAATTTAGGCACTTTAATTAATAAATAGGGTGCAAATATTACAAGTATTTCATGATTTGCGTCCTAAACTACACAGACACAAGCATAATTAGTAGCTACGTACGGACTCTCGTCACCTCTTGTATACGTAGCCCCTACAATTAGAAGCAAATAGTAATTTAAATCATATATGGGTAAATTCTCTCTTACAAGGTTAAGCTAGAGACTTACCTTGTCTCAATGCTCGCTTTCGATCCACAAATGTGCTTTAAATCCTCAACTCGGTGCCAAATAACCCGAAAATAGTCAAATATTGTATAAATTAATCAATATAGGTTCAAAAGTGCAAAATATAACTATTAGAGTGATTAACTAACCCT